AATTTAAAATTTTGGAGAAATAAACTATTTCTAATTTTAGAGAAGAAAACTATCGAAAATTTTTAAAGAGAGAAATTATCTCAAAGTTTTTGTAGAGAGAAACTATCTCAAATTTTAAGTTTTAGAGAAAGAAAGTATCTTATAGAGAGAGATGTATCTAAAAAAAATTTAAACAGTGAAACTATCTGAAAAATTTTAGAGAGAAAAACTCTTTCAAATGTTAAGTTTTAGAGAGAGAAAGTACTTGTAATTTTTTAGAGAGATAATTTTTCTCAAATTTTTTAGACAGAGAAATTATATCAAATTTTAAGTTTTATAAAGAGAAAGTACCTAAAAATTCTTAGAGAGAAAATAATAAACAATCTCAATTTTTAAGTTTTAGAGAGAGAAAGTATTGAAAAATTTTAGAGAGAGAAGCTATCTCAAAATTTTTAAAAAAGAAACTATCTCAAATTTTAAGTTTTAGAGAGAAGAAGCATCTTAAAATTTTTAAAAGAAACTATATCAAATTTTAGAGAGAGAAACAATCTCGAATTTGTCAAATTTTAGAGAGAAAAACTATCTCAAAAATATTAAGTTTTAGAGAGAGCAAGTACTTGAAAATTTTTAGAGAGAGAAAGTATTAACATTTTTAGAGAGAAAAACTATCTCAAATTTTAAAGAAAAATAAGGTATTTTTGTATTGTGGCTTCTAAATAAGCCAAATTACGAAAATACCCCTAATTATTTGAGATTCACAACCTTGAAAAATAGTGATTTGTAATTCTTTTTAGGAGGTACTTTTTATTATGAATTGAAATGTAAAAAATAAATCTTGTAGTGCTAGATTGTTTTTTTTTTTAATCCCTTATGAGATAATGTAAATTATGCAAGGAATTCAGTGATATTTTTCCAAAACAAATTAATTTTCTAGTACGTGTGGTTAGGGGTATTTTATGGCATTGTGCACTACCTTTCAAACAATGTTGCATAAAATTGTCTCTTGAAGGCCTATTTGATCGCTGAAACGTAAATGTTTCCTGGAAATTAGAAGTTCTTCTTTGTGGGGAAGAAGGAAATTACTGTAAGGAAGTTCTAGGTGCATGTATTTGAGAACCTAGTTCTAGGTGCATGTATTTGAGAACCTGCTGGAATGTTTAAAAGTTCTAGGTAGCTATGTTGGACAACCTGTTGAAATATTAGGAAGTTCTAGATAGCTATATTTTACTGGCTGTTGGAATATTGAAAATTTTTTCGGCAATTGTTCTTGATTATCTAGAAAGACCAATAGTAATGTTATTTTTATTTATTTTTACAATTCTTATATTTTTCCTTGTTTGGGATAAAATATCAATTGAAACTCAACTACTTTGAATTTAAATATCCATAGATAATATCTACATAAGTTTTGATGATAGAATTTGATATGCATATAGAAGGCTGTTATATTTTTTGTGTGAAATTTGATGAATGAGCTTCTCCCTCTCCATTCACTATTCTCCCTCTTTTCCCAATAAATTCAAGAGAAAGAGAGGAGAAGAGGGAAGCATCTTTAATAAGTCTTGGATTTTGGCCATTGAACAATGCGTTCGAGAGAGAGACTTGGTAACAGTGAGAGGTGAAGAAGATGCCCCCAATGTTACAATACAGTTTAGGTGGAGAGTTTATTCAACGTTTTAAATGTTATAGAGAAAAGACAGAGGAGATGCTGCATGATAAATTTCATCGTCCTTCAAAATTCAAGTAGTCACTAGACAATATTAATCACAACCTGAAATAAGTATTCACGAGATTAAGTATCAACAACGAGATTTTACAGGTTCACGAGATGTTCTTAAACAAAATAGAAAAATATATCTCAATTGCCCCAAGTCAACATCACCATATTATTGTAATGGCATTGGTTCTTGATTTTTAAGGTCGTGTTCTTGTGATTATTGTGAACAACTACATTGTGACGCATTTTGGCACCTCAAATTCACCATGTAGTTAACATATGTTATATAATCATCGCACCACTGAAAGAATTTGCTTTTCCCATCCTGGCATGTACGACAATTTGTATGTACACATAGATAGAATAGTCTATATGGGTTGCCTCTGGTAGTTGATGCGTATAAAACATAATCAACTTCACAGTGAAGGCATAGACAAGATTGGAAGCCCCCACCATTTGTAGATGTTGTTGACATTCTTATTATAGTTAGAAATCAAATAAATATGGCATTTTTCAATGCTTTTTAAACAATACTACATAAATTTGGGTCTAGAAATGTGACTTTTTGTAACTAGGAAACTTGTGGCCATGATTAGTATTCATATGGCTTTTTTTATCTTAGGGCTAACTTTGAACATTTTATTAATGGTGTGGTTTGTATAAGGATGTAACCTTATTTGTAGAAATAATGTTGCGATGGTCCTTTTGGACTGAAATAGGCAAATGCTATTTGCCGATACTCAATAAGCTTAACGTGCTAGGTCAGTCGAGTTGGAAAACCCTTAATTACCTAGGCATTGAGCACAACTGAGGATGCTTAACAGGTTATCCCTTGATGAGATTGGAGTTGCCCAAGATAGCGAGCTAAGAGACTGTGTGACCCTTGTGTGTGATGAGAGGCCTATAGAGACGAGTGTCAATGCTTCATCATAGAACCATCATACACATGTACATATGATAAACGTATATCCATTTTATTTGAATAATGTATATTTTCTTTATTTATTAATATTAATAGTAATTTTTCATTAATATAAGGAGTCAACCTCCCAATTACAAATACACAAAGGAGGAAATAGAGACCGAGTCCTATACTTCTTAAAAAAACCGGCCAACACTCCAAAAAATGACGAAATACACAGAGGAAGAAATAGAGACAAAGTCATCTACTTCTATTTTACTTGGGCAGTATAGATTTAACACATCTTCTAAGACAATGTCAATATATGACATACTTTTTAAGATATTGTCCAATTCATATGGTCTAATTATTACTGCAACATTATTTATTCAAACAAGATCATAACCTTTATAGACATCCTACCCCATAATAATTTTAGTATCATAGCCATGCCCAACATTGTTTTCTCTTACTTTGACCCCCTAGTCAAAAAATTTGGGGCTAAACTAGCCCTTTCAATAGCCATCTCCTCCTCTCTCCCTACCTAAACTCTCTCTCCCAAAATCTCTCTTTATCCAATTTTCTCTCTCTACCTGAACTCTCGAAATCTCTCTTCTCCTATTTTCTCTCTACATGAAATCTCTTTCTCCCAAAATCTCTATTTTTCACTGATTTTCTTTCTCTACCAGAACTTTATTTCTCTCTCTCCCGAAGCCTCTTTTTCTTCTATTTTCTCTCTACTAGAACTCTCTCACTCTATCAGCCCTCTCTCCCCTAAAGTCTCTCTCTTCCTCCTATTTTCTCTCTACTCGAACTCTCTACCCACCTCCTCTCTATTTCTCTCTCTACGCTCTATTTCTACTACTCGCCCTCTCTCTACAAATTCACTCCAAAACCAAAACTTCTTTAAAAACAATCCCTACCTTTTTTTTTCTCAATGAAACTTGTTCAACCATCAGTGCTCCAGGAGTCACCCTAATAGAACCCAACAAGAACCTACAGAATCTCTTTCGCTCTCTACATTCCACCGAATCTACTTACTTGAATTCCTTGCCCCTTGAAAAACTGAATCCCCTATTTTAGCAGTCATGGCTTGCAAGCCTCAGCTGCAATATTGCATTCTAAAGCCAGGATCCACAAATTGTGCGAAATTCTCAAATTTGTTTTTTCTTTCTTTCTTTTTTTCATTATGTGATTTTTTTTTCTTACATACTATAAATGCCATTAAAAAGTGAAAGGGTTTTCGGGTTTTAGTGGTGGTATGCTTCAGAGAGAGAGAGAAATGATTTTGGGATTTTAATTGTGGTGCGTTTCAGAACGAGAGAAAGGATTTTGGGGTTCCTTCTAATGTGTTACAAAAATTGGGGTTCCTGCCAAATTGTTCTCTCGAAATCCCTGTCTATAGAGAGAGAGAGAGAGAGAGAGAGAGAGAGAGGAGAGAGAAAAGAGTGAGGGGTGGGTAGAGAGAAAGAGAGGGAGTGTAGAGAGAAAGATTGAGATAGAGAGAGGGTGAATAAAGAAAAAGAGAAAGAGGGCAGGTAGAGAGAGAAAGAGGGCGGGTAGAGAGAGAAAGAGGGCGGGTAGAGAGAGAAAGATAAAGAGACAGTGGGTTTCAACATAGAGTTTTTGGCCACAAAGAGGGAGAGAGAGAGAGAGCGAAATGAAGAGAGTTTGGGGGGGGAGAGAGAGAAAAAAATGACTTTTTTTTTGGTAGAGAGAATTTGGGTAGATAGAGAAAGAGTTCGGGCATAGCGAGAGAGAAGAGATGCCTAATCACACGTGACTACAAAAGGGGAAGAGAGAGTAAGGGGACTTTAGTTTTAAATTTGTTGACTTCTTGATGGTGGAAGGAAGGGGGGGTGGTAAATATAATAAAAAAACAGTGTTGAGTTTAGGGTATGATACTAAAAGTATTGGGGAGTTAGATGTCTACAAGTTGATTTTGGGGGCGTATTTATAATTTTCCCTATAATTTTTTGAGAATTTTTTTGTACACCATCCATATCTATTTTGACCGCGTGTGCTTTACACAATGTCCATCTTAAAGATGGACGATGAAGAGTTAGTGGGCTCTAACACCTGTTGACTCATAGAGCACTTTCTTTTATTATTTATTTAGGAAAAGTTTTCTATGCTTCCCCTACAACATATAGCAACAATGCTCCCCCTCCTTCCCAACCATCCAAATTTAAATGGGCAGTTGAGATCACCCCACTCAAAATGTCACATTTTGAGGGTTATAGGCTCACCTAGTTGCCCTTCAATGAAGCCCGTAATAAAGAGAGAAGAGGTAAGCGGCAAAATAGAAAAAGGGTTGGGAGAAAGAAGCCAGTTTAAGAAAGAGAGGGGGAAGGAGAGAGATATCTATATAGAGGAAGAAGAGGGGTAGGAGGGACGGCCCGTCTAAGACAGAGAGAGAAGAAGGAAAGAGTGAGGGAGAGAGAGCATGGAAGAAAATGAAGGAAAGAGGAGGGTGTGTGAACCAAAAAAGAGTCGATCTTTCCCTTCAAACTCGATCTGAGTATAAAAAGGAGGTATTGTTTCATGGCTATCTCTTCATCGATCTATATATCTGCCCGTTTTTTGCCTTAATTGTGCATTTTTTCATATATTTATCTCTCAATAGTATTAATATTCATATTTTCATATTCTCTCTACATATCTCATTGTGATTACTTTATTACTCTTCACGAAGTCCACCCAATAACTCGTGTTTATGAGCAAACCCTGGTCAAAGGTGCCTATACTCCCTAAAGCTCCTATTTTTCTCCATTTTCTCTCTCTAGAAAATATTTCTCAACAGCTCTCTAATTTCCTAAATCACCAAGTCATGCCATTTTTTCTTAATTTCTTTATTTGAAATTCCAAGATTTATATCAAATTGTTATTTGTTATTTACATGTTGATAAGCTTATAAATTGATTTTTAGTGCATTTAATATCTATTTTATATAGAATATGTCTTAAGAAACTTGATTAATATATGTCTTAAGGAACTTGATTTCTATGTGGGTTCTCCAAAAACTGTGTTTTAATTCTACATTTCCTGATTTTTCTTGAATTTGGTTGCCTCTGCCCAAGAATCTATGATGTGGAATTTTATGTTTTTTTATCTCACATAGTTCTATATTTCTTATTGTAGAATACACGATATGTAAAATTTTATGTTTATTTTATCTCTCATAGATCAATATTCTTTGTTTATATCCAATTAATGATTCCATGGTATATGAATTTTGTTCAATCGTACTTTTCTTATTTTCATTACCATTATATATCAATTGAAATTAGATACATGACAGACGAGGCTCTCTCTCTTGGTTTATTAGATTAATGGCATACAAATGTATATTCCAGTAAATTTACTAGTGACATACTAACATTATTTGTGAAATGATGTTTTTGTTGAATCCTGATATTGTACTTCAACGTTTCTAATTTTAGTTTGATATTATTTGTTGTCCTTTTTATAAAGGTCAAATCTAGCGATGCAAAACATAGACTGGCACAAGGACCAGATGGCACATTTACTGTGTCCGGGGATCAAGGTGAGGTATGACATATTCTTAGTATCATCTAATTTAATTTAGTTGTTGCTTTTTGTAATTTAGACTTTTATCATATTATTAAATAATTTATAATATTCTTACATTGTCTATAATGATTGCTTATTATGCTAATGAATGTCATTTCAGAAGAAAAAGATCATTCGTATCAATGAATCCACTAAAGTCCTATAATTATGGAAGCTTGTCCTGCTATGCAAAATGGAGGAAAGGAGAGTGAAGCCAAGGAGGACGATGAGAAAACAAAGATATGAGAAGACCGATATTAGGTGTATTGTCATGCTATGTGTGAGGAATCGAGATGAAATTTTCAACCAAGAAGAGGGCGAGGTGTAATGGCCCCCCTGGCCGGTCAGGAGGGAGGGCATGCTCGTAAACCTAATGTGAAGGAGAAGGGTATACTTAGTTGGCCAAAGAAATTTATGAGGCAGGGGAATTGACGAGCGTCTTGTATAGTTATGGGTCTCTTACATATTAGTAATTTGATATCTTTCTAGTTGGATATGTACTTTGGAGCAATTCGACTATGTAAAATTTTCAGAATGAAAAAAGATTTGTATTTTAATTTAGTTTATGTAGCTTGAAAATTTTGGTGTTTCTTACTCAAATTGCATTAATGTTATGAAAAACTTTACATAGTTATGGTTCTCTTTCAACTTTGTGTCTCGATGTCTTTGGCGTTCGATATAAACTTTAAAGCGATTCAACAGTGTTAAACTTCTACAATGAAAAATGTCATGATTTGTAACCTTACAATTATGATTCGAGGAACCAAGTTTAATCACAAGGTCTTCAACATCCTTCAAGTGTAAAACGCTCAACTCAATTCAATTGTAGAGGGCTAAATTTTCAAGATTCAAGTATGCAATTACTCCACATTTTAAGAAACATGATTATTTTTTATTGTATTTGTTTGGATAAAAAATAAGAAAATATAATTGACAATAAAACTGTCACTGTTCGGAAGGTTTGGTGCTGGACCACAAAATGTGCCAGACCGAGCTTCAGAATAATAGAAGGTTTGATGTAGGACTGGCCACAAAATGTGCCAAACCAGGCCTCAGGATAACATGAGCTTTTTTTTGTCAGACTGCCCACAAAAATGTGCTGGACCGAGCCTCATGATAACATAAGCTTTTTGTGCCGGACCAGCAACAAAATGTTCCGGACAAGGCCCAAGGATAACATAAAATATTTGTGTCGGACCGGGGCTCATAATAACATGCTTTTTGTGTCGAACTGGCCACAAAAAGTGCCGGACCAGGCCTCATGATTACATAAGCTTTTTGTGCTGAACCGGCCACAAAAAGTGTCTAACCGAGCCTCAGGATAATATAAGCTTTTTGTGTCGGACTGTCTACAAATTGTGGTGGACATGGCCTTAGGATAACAAAAGGTTTTTGTGTCGAACCGGGCTTCTGGGCACGAGAAGGTTTTGCATCGGATCGGGAATCCAATGTTCCGGACCGAGCCTATGTGCAACAAAATGTTTGGTGCCAGACCGGCCATAAAATGTATCTGACCGAGCCTTAGGATAGCATAAGGGTTTTGTGCCGGACTAGCCACAAATGGGCCAGACCGGGCCTCAAGATAACATTATGTTTTTGTGCTGGACCGAGCACAAATGTGCCGGACCCAACTTTTGGGCACCAGGAGTAATTGTGCATATAGAGTGATTTTATTTTTTTGGTGACAAATTTGGAGTACTATTATTTTAGTGGTATAAGCTTAGGAGTATTATTGTAAGGACAAACAATAAACATAGGTCGGGGAGAGAGAGAGAGAGAGAGAGAGAGAGAGAGAGAAGTCATAAGATAGAGTGGGAGATGAATTACACTTTCATAATATTACAATGGGCGCAACATTACACTTTTATTGTAAGCTAAAATACAATGGGCAACATAGTAATTTGCAACGGAGAAAAACTATAAAAAATTCCACTTGCGACATGAATTTGCAATATATAAAAACTATACAAAATTCCACTTCAAAGCTCCATTCATACGACAATGATTGCTCCATTAGCATGGGCTTGAAAAAAAAAAAAATTGAGATGAGGAGCTCGAGGGAAACATTGTGCTTTTGGCACAATGCCAACTCTAGTCTTGTTCTTAAAGATATGTCTGCTGCTTTGACTTCTTGTAATGTTATCCAAACTGATATTTATAGAAAACTTAGGACATTTATTAGCTCAGCAACCAATTGAAAATGAAAAGAACTAAGCATTTAACATAAAACACATGCCATTATAGCGTAGAACACTTAATATATAATGATTAATTCGTGCAAATGTAATATCAATTTAACTTAAAAAAAAAAATGCCAATGTAGTATCAATATACCTTAAAAAAGGAGAATAGTATATATAGTGAAGTCTAAATAGTGTTTCACTCAGCTGCATGCTCCATATTGGGTATTTCCATGTTAGATATGCATAAATTGCAAAATAGTGATTAGTTGGCAAACAAAACACTTTCTCTTGCTTGTCTTTGAGGAGATGAAAATTTATTGATTATAACTTACCAAAACTCCATTAGCTCAGTTAACTCAATGAATAATGCCCAATTCAAGTGATTCTTCGGTCCACAATCTAAAATTCCATTTATTTAGCAACCACATGAAATAACTCATATAATTTAATGAAAATTAACAACGACGAGTTCACAAAAACTTAAAAAAAAAGAAAAGAAAGAGGGATAATAAATTAACACAATGAAAAGAAATAAACGAACCAAATATAATTAGCATAACCAAATCAACAATTATATCAATTTTCATTAATTGATCAGAACTCCAATCTTTGCCTATCGTCCAAAACAAAGAGAGATAGAGTAAAAACCTAACATACGAACAATGAATCTTTTGTTATCTCCCTCTCTCACTCTAACAATCACATAACTACTTTTTCATTCTAACAAACCTAAAACGATAATGAAAATCCTAGTTTGTTAAAATAATAATAATAAAAATAAAAACCCCCAAAATGAAAACCCATAAAAAAAGACAAGAACATGAAGATCCATAACTCAAATGTCTCGCATTTCATCTACACCATGAAAGTAGAAAAAAATTAATTTCATGACGCTCATACTTGATGATAGTGATGCAAGGAAATCTGAGAGGAGTGAAAGAACGATGGCGTAACTGCAAAATAAAATCAGCCAATAATTGAGATTTTAAGTTTTTTTGCCTTCTACCTCATCCAACTCTCTCTTTCTCTTCTCTTCCCCACTTCCGGCCATTCTTTCTCTCTCTCTATGTTTCCTTCACTTTCAAACGAGCCTTTTTTTTCTTTTTTTCTACGCTTTCTTTCTTTCTTTCTATACTACGGTCTTTACTGAAGAGCTACAGGTTGCGCCCGTAACCTTCAAAATGTGACATTTTGAGTGGGGTGATCTTAGCCACCCATTTAAATTTGACAGCTAAAAAGGAAGAGAAATGTATATGGAATAAAAGATGGATAAAAATCTTTCCCATTTAGAAAATATTGATACAAAACATGAATATTGTACAATAGATAAAAACATATTGACCACCAAAATTAGGAAGCAAAATTAGTGAGGCATAGCCTTCCTTCGCAAGAAAGTTGTTATTGTTACTTTCAAGTAGTGCACAATTTGTCGCGAGTACTTTCTAATGGAAATCGGTTTGATAGGGTTTGAGTAGCCCTCTTAATATGAGTAAAGCCTCACCTCAAAATTCAATAAAAAAAATGTAATTATGGTGTCGAAAAACTTTCAAATCGATCATTTTGGCCTCGACTATTATGATTGTGAAAAAAATTAGGATTTCGGGCCCTAACAATATTGTAACATATTATCTAGACCATCCATTTCATTCTAAAAGTAAGTTGTTCACATGCAAGATTTATATCATTAACCTCAATTTTATAGTCAGTGTTGGAAACCATCAAATAGATTTTTATATCCAAAGTGCTTTCAATACGAATTTGAGGTAAGGCTTTACTTAGTGCTTTTTTCAAAAAGTGCACAATTTGTCGCGATTACTTTCTAATGGAAAATGATTTGATAGGAAAATGGTTTGATAGGGTTGGAGCAGCCATCTCAATATGAGTAAAGCCTCACCTCAAAATTCAATAAAAAAATATAATTATGGTGTCGAAAAACCTTGAAATCGATCATTTTGGCCTCGACTATTATGGTTGTGAAAAAAATTAGGATTTCAGACTTTAACAATATTATAATACATTATCTACCATCCAACATGCAAGACTTATATCATTAGCATCAAATTTCATAGTCAATGTTGGAAATTGATTTTAAAGCCATTTCAAATTTTATAGTTGGAAATTAATTTTAGAGCCCTCGGATTTTTTATATCCAAAGTGCTTTTCAATGCGAATTCGAGGTGAGGCTTTACTTTGTTTTCGTAAAGCCTAGGCCTCATCGAAACTGCAGCTCCCCCTCCGTATTGATGACATTGGTAGAATTTGAAAGCTTTCCACGAGTTGTCCGAGTGCGCATACACGTTCGTTGGGTTTTTCATGTGTTTCCTCGATCCATCCCGTAGGAGAGCCTCAAGCATCCTCTGGTTCTCTGATCACAGTCAATTGTTTCTCCTGATCACCTAGAGAAAATGGGTTCAGAAATCAACTGAGCATGAGTTTCTGGATCTAAAGCAGCCCTAGTTCCTTCGGATCCAGGGACACAGTCTCCTCCCTTAACCCCCCAAAAAGAAGGCAGGAGTGGGCGGTGCATTGTGAAGAGCTAGGATGCCATCACTGGAATCCAATGACTCAGAAACAGCCACAATGGCATTGGGGCTTCTTCCGTTGGCCAGTGCTGCTCAGCAGCCTTATGTCTCCGAGCTCCTCTCCTTCACTCTCGATCGTCTCCACAAGGTACTCTTTCTCTCTCCTTTCCTTCATTTTTCTTCAAAATCAATCAATCAATCTCTCTCACTCTCACTCCTGTTGTCTTTGATTCATTTTGTGTTCTGCCAATATTGTATCTCGTTGATTAATGTTATTTCAATTATCTCTCTCTCTCTCTCTCTCTCTCTCTCTCTACTATATATATATATATATATATATATATATATATATTTAACAGTGCTTCAATTGAATTTGATTACAGGAGCCTGAGCTACTGAGGGTGGATGCTGAGCGTATAAGGAGGCAGATGCAAGAAGTGGCTGTCTCCAATTATAGGGCTTTCATTGCTGCAGCTGATGCTTTGCAGTCCATTCGCTCAGAAGTGAGCTCCATGGATAACCATCTCGAATCTCTGGTACCTATTTACACTCTCTCAATTTGCATTTTTGCTCTCCACGGTGATTGAATAATGTTCTTTTTTAGTTTCCATTTTTCTATCATCCATATTATGAGTATGAATGTTTGGAGGATTACTGTTGAACTAGATGGTTTGAGTTCAAAGGTTCATGCTTTCTGCCATTAGTTTGTTGAACATGTCGTAAACTGAATTTGTTTGGAAGACTAAGTGTTATATTAAGTTGTTGGAGACCAAGATGCCTGATTATTTCAGCTAGATCCTGCTTCTAAGATCTGTTTCTTACTTTTTTAATTTGTTCTCCCTGAATCACATTTGAATTTAACAATCTACTATTTTCTATGTTTATTACTCTAGTGATGACTTTTCTTCAATATTTTATTTATAATTATTTATGCAAATAACACTTACTTAAACTTTACAATCATGCGTGACAATCAAAAAACAAGAAAAAGCTTATACATACATGATTATAAATGGTTGTTAATAAATAATTCAAATTTGGCAAATGAAATCTACGAATTAAAGATCTTGAGTAATTTTGATACTAAAAGGATAATTATAAAGAGTATCATTACATATTGAATCAAATTACAATTTGTAATGTTGTTTGCATGAGAGGGCAATTAACAATCTAAATTCAGCAAAAGAAACAAGAAAATAAAAGGTTTGTAGCTTCTAAGGGAATGAGAGGAACTTGTCCTTCAGCCCGAATTACCTTCTATGAGGAAATCGTATACCACCATCCATCACTATTACTTTCTATTTGAAGATGTTAGGCATTGACTATTTTCTTCAGTATTTCAAAGGAGGCATAAAGCTCTAAGAATTCAATGAATGTTTAGGATCCCAAGTGTTCTATTTCCTTCTCCACATCCATAGTTAGAGTTTTCATCCGTAGTTAGAGTTTACTGATGAGACACATCCATACACATTCATAAATACCCAAATTAATAATTGAATTGATATGACTCATACATGGAATCATGTTTGAAGTCTACGGACTCACCCGAATTATTGGGGCTTGGCAGTGCCCAGCCTGAGACCCCCTAAGGGGGGAAGGGGGTGTTATATATTACATACAAAGTCTGCCATACTCTTCTAGTACTGTAAAACTTTGGCTGACTCGCCTGCGTTTCACAATACCTAGGTGAGTTTGAAACTGTGGTGAGTGTTTAGAGTACTTTCCCTATGTATTGTACAAAAAGCAATTTAAAAGGAGGGGCGGAAATCCACCCCCTCTTTTGTCTTTATGTCTTAGATTTCGGATCTTAGAGAGTGCGATTTGAACCTATTTTTGGAATATAGACTGATTTTTAGTTGATCTATCCACAAAATAGATCAAATTTGAGAAAGAAAACCAAATTTGATGGATTCGAGAGATCAAAGATTTCGGCTAGAACTTTCCCCGATTTTTGTTGGATATATGGCCTTTCAAGGCCTTGTGTGTGACGCTAGCATTGTTCAGAGTCACATTGGGAGTGATCAGGAATATTGTGGCTATCGGAGTCTATGCGTACTGAGATTTGGATAGGCAAAATATGACCCTGTTTGACTGAGGCAAGGTTCTTGGACCATATTGTGAACCGAGAGGCTTTTAGGGTTTTTCCTCTAATCAGGGTCGGTATAACTGGGTTCGCCTCATGTCATGTGTGATAGGGCTTGGGATAGATCTTGGTATTGTTTGAGATATATTATGTATAAGCCATGTGTGAGCATAGCTGGGCTGTAAGAGGACATAAGCCCAAAACCTTGACATATATAGCTTGCTCATAACGTGTGCACAGACAGTCACATTTTGGGAAGTCATTCTGATGAGGTGAGATCCACCTATCATAACTGTGCATATGTGCTAAGACAGGACCCCCGCATTCGCAAGAATGCATGTCCTTGGGGAGTACCTGTAGTCCATTGAACGCCCTGGAGTCCATCCAACCATCGGTTAGCTTTGATAGGATCACTTATGTTCGGACTGAAGTATGTGTACTCATAGGGGCCTGTTGGGTTGGTCTGAGAAATTGGATTGAGTTTTGATGTCTAGAACAACGGAATACCATATAGCTTGACCTCTTGTGGGACCGAGTTTTCCATTTATGAGAAGTGCCAGGCCATGATATTTTGATAAAAAAGAATGAAAAATAATTTATCATGATTTTAGATAATTTTTGGAAATTTTATTTCAAAGAAAAAATGCTGTAAAAAATTGGTGTGTGTTAATTCCAATTAAGGATATCTGCATATGTGGCGTGTGACACACAAATGGCCAATGTGTATCACGCGTGCATCCCATGGGGTAGCCACCTCATTGCCCAATGGGCATGAGGTAGAAACCCTAACTCTAAATGTGGAACCCTAGTTTGGATATGACACATAACATTGATAAGTATAAGTTAGTTTATAGAACATGTGTGAAGCCCATATGTGGTGACATGTGTGTTCACATGTGGGAGTATAGAGATTTTGCATTTCATAAATTGATTAAACTCTTTATTTTGTGATTTGATAATCTCTTAGATATTTGAAATGGAGGGATTTGATTGGTGTGAAGAGGATAAGGGGGACACACCATGACATAAGGTGATGTAATGTTCCCCCTTTGATTATGACGTTACATGAGCTTAAGTGTGATGCAAGCTTTTACAACTAATGTAGCAAGGGGTGGCACATCACCCCCATTAGCGTTTTATAAAGATCTTATAAAATCTGAGGTGGTGATTTGATGATTAAAAAATCGATGGTTGAGATGAATTAATTTTGAAAATTAGGGTTTAAGAGCGTCGTAAAAAAAAAAAGAAAAAAAGGGGTTTAAGAGCACTTAAGATATTGTTGGAATTCTTTGACGGTGTTATGTGGGTATGGTGACAAGGGTGTACTCAATCATCACCATCCATGTGATAGCCATCGATGGTGATTTACTAGATTAAGTTTTTAGCCTCTCTCAACCCTTGGATCACTTAATGGGTGGTTAAGATCTAATCTAAGGTCTATTCTCCACATGAAAAATTTATAAATAGGACCTCTTCCCACTTCATACAAAGTTTGGTTGTTTTAACTTAAACTCACGATCTCTTCTGCTCAAAGGCCTCACGCCCCACTCATAACTTTGTTTATTCTTCTATCTTAAGGATCATAATTTAGTTACCTACAACCTTCATAATTGCATGCCTTTCACCATGATAAAAGTATGATCTTTGTAACCTTATTATGCAACTCTCATTGAGTTATGGCTTCTGTTATGTCAAAGTTTGGCTGCTGTAATTCATAATAACAGTAAGCAATCCTCACTCATAGTTTATACTTCAAGTGCTGAAGTGTTAGTGATAGATACCATCTGTTCTTGTGAGTTTTGTTGGAGTAGTTTTGAGGTTGTTTAATGCAAACACTTGTGCCTTCAATGTTGCTGGAAATGCTAACATATGAAGCATAACAGCGAGTTCTCTTTTAGCTCTACGCATCAAGCTTAGTTACTTTGACCCTATAGTGGTTTGGGCCTTTGAACCAAACCCTATGGCCGAAACTATTCCATTTCGAGCTTGTTTTGGCTCGAATTTCTCCCCCTTTGTTTCACAAGGTCCTGTGCCCTATATGAGGTTGAGAACTTTGTCATGTGGTGGTAAGGTAGTTGCTTCTCAAGATTAGATTGAAACCACACCCTTCTTACGCTATCGGTAGAGAGTGACAGTCAAGGGTTGTCATCATACCGTTGCAGTATTTGCACGGTGGTTATTTTGAAATCGGCTTCCTATAAGATACATTAAGCTCATATGCATTACTTATTTAGTCTATGTTTTGTTGTATTTTATTTCACTTTAATTGTAAAGAGCTATGCTCAAATTGTAAGGGTATTGTTGATTGAAAGAGTATTGTAATTTCTGTTCTTATAGTTTGTAGTAAGTGGGGGTTTTCCCAAAGTGAAATGAAAGATTACGTAAGTTGTTTCTAATTTTTTTATTTTACATACCTTGAATACTATTTCAATTTTGAAGAGTTGCGTTTTCTTTGCCACAGATGGTCAATCTTTGATGAAATTTGTTCCCCAATCCTATTTATGGTTCTTCATCCAACCATAGACTGAGTTGTAGAACATTGTATGGAATCAAATATGGGTTCAAGAACAACCTGCTTTCAATCAATCTTTGCTGGAAATGCCTTCCGAGCTTCTAATCACTTATGATATGCTGATTTCTTGGTTTTCTGCCTCTTGGATCATAAAGTGCTTGGTCTCTTTTTTTTGGTCATTACATTGTTAGCATATGGATATTGGGTGATAACTGAGATCTCATTTATTTACTGAACAGAGATCCATGCATTATGGTAAACATAACTCTAGTGGTTCTCAAATTACCTTACTATCCTCCTATGGACAAATAGAACTATCCCTAGATTCCATCAGTGCACGCAATGCGAAAGCAAGTATTGAATAGCCAGGATGGAAGCCCAATTATGCTCATTACTTGATGAAGGGATCCTTGCCTTTTGATTGTTTCAAATATCATTAACTCACTGTTGTTTCAAAAGTCATTTGTTTGCTTCCCATGATAATGGATGTTCTCTTACCCCTCATGACCCTATCTCCCTTGTCACCTGTGTGTTTACTGATACGCCTAGCAAGGATAGCATGATGAGGATAGGTTTGTCCATAGTTGCGAGAACCTTGGGGGTAAGGTCACAGTCGCACCTTTGGAACTCGATCCCATGGTTCCTCTAAGGGATCTTAGAGAGAGATGGATTTAAAGAAAATAGGGATCTCCCTCCCTATAAACTGGGATCTTGGTCTACGTGCTTATAGGCTCCCTCCAAGGAGAGGAGCTATACCATTAATCAATATATTGCTCCTCTTCTTGGTATTACATTTTTATTTCTAGAACATGTTAAACTGTGGTGCATATCACATTGTGGTATAATAGAACTATGTTATTACAAAACCATAATTTACAATCATAGCAAGCCAATTTATGATATTATTAAAGTATATTATTCTAGTGAATTGGAGTACTATAACTATGGGATTGGTAATAAGCTAAGGTTTACGATAATGGATGGAGCAGGCATTAGCTTGATCCTAACTTTATCATATACCATTAGCTTGATCTTGTTTTATGTAAAGTGAGCTTAGATCTCTCCAAGTTAAAACTTTGATCCCAATGAAATGGGATCAGGCTCTCAGGTATCCTAGGATCTGGCTCCTTTACATGTTGAATGTACTGACAAGATCCTAACTTCCACCCTGTGGCGATTCAGTTTCCCTGAATCGATCCTGCTCCCACCTCCAACAACTGTGGCTTTGTCCATTAGGTTTATGTGCAATTTGGGTACGGCGAGACCTGTTTTCAATTCCAAGTTTACGAGCCAGCAGGATGTACTTTCATGTTTCAATTTACCTCATGATGAACCAACCAACATACGTTGACACGATTCCATCTTGCCTCCCTTGCATGCAGACCAGGGACTGTTTTCACCATTACCCTGTTGCCTCTTGTAGGATGAGAAGGGCGCACGATAGCGCTACAAAACATGAGCAAGAAAGAGGGAAAGGATGAAAGAATAGACAACTCATATCCTGCTGGAGATTTTCCCTGTTTTTCACACCTGCTTTTTGCAATCTCATTCGACTTCCATTTGATATTTTAATGCTTCAAAAACTGACTTAACTGAATAAAGCTATATTTGGTGTGGCATTTTGATTGTAGAGTATGATTTCCAAATTCTTTTTGATATGATTTCCAAATTCTTTTTGTAATAGTACATAAGTTCCATTATATTAAAAAAAAGAAAGTACATAAGTTCCATTTTGTGTTATCTTTTGGTTACAATCCTCTCTTTCCATTTTCTTAGAATCCTTGACCGGAAGATTCTCGAATATGTCATACAGAGAACAAATTCACATGGCCATTAGACTCAGTTGTTAATGGCCTATGTTTCAGTGGTTCAGAATGAAGTTCTTTTTGAGTGACTTAATTCTCGATGGAAGACTTTCCTGAATCTAGCTTGCCTTGTGTTTATTTTTCCATCATTAGAGTTTCTTAGATGATTTGCAACGCCGTTGCAGCTTTCTGCTGATGCATGTTTTCACCCCTGCTGTTGGATATTCTTGAATTGGCTTCTCTGTTGATTATTGTGTTCTTTTTCCAGCAAATGTTGTTGCTTTTGGTTGAGATTTTATTTTCTTTCTTTTTTCTTTTTTTTGAACCTGTTAGCTGAGATTTTATATTCCTACCGATAAAATTTAATTCTAGGATGCATGGATACCTCTATTTGGCCAAGGTGCCAGTGTTGGTAGGGTCTGATATGGGTAATGGTATGGAATATGGTGGGAATATGGCTCGGCCATATCCTGCTTGTAATTTGAAGTTCATCAAGATTTGGAGTCCCTACTGTACATGGTAATATATAATATTAGGGATGACATGTAAACTAATTTATATTACTCTACAATAATGACCTAGCTAATATTAAGGATGATGTTCAAAATGATTCATATTACTCATTAAGGATGATGAGTCCTTCTAATTTGTGCTTCTGGTTTTAGGTACAATTATTACCAGGTGAAGTATTTTTACAGATATAGATCTTAATTAACTGTTGATCTATCAATCCTTTTCCCTGTTGTAGTTTTGAAATTTTTTGTGTTGAAGTTAGAACATTGAGAACCCCCCTTGATCCCTTGCAGTGATGCATTCATTGTCTGAAACCTTTGATTGTAAGGTTATCATTAATATTTTTCTAATTTAGATCTCTAATATGTTTTAGTTTCTTAAATTTGATATCTATTGTGTTCATATCATATTGAATCTTATGGTTTCAACATGTTAGATAGCTCTGTACCTGTATCTGTGTCCTAGATTTTGGGAAAAGCTGAGTTGTTTCTTTGCTTCCGTATTAATGTCTGTGTACATATCCACATATTATAGATTTATTCATGTATCCTGTATGTTGAATACATTATATGAAGCGTTTATTCTGTTCCAGCTATTCTAGACTTGTTAGAACATAGAAGTTTAAGTACTACGGAAAAAATTAAGTTTCTTGGCTTTTGTTTGTCCCTAAATGTTGCAGATTTCAGAGATTCCTAAGCTCACAGCTGGTTGCACAGAATTTATTGACTCTGCTGAGCAAATACTGAGGAAGAGAAAGCTGAATCGAACGTTACTTGCAAATCATAGTACTCTACTTGACTTGCTTGAGATTCCTCAATTAATGGACACGTATGTGTTTCAGCAGTCAATAGCTTAAATCTGTGAGTTTGCATGTATGCATGTACTTGAGATCAAAGCCCTTAATAAACTATTGGTTTTTGTTATCATTGACTATGCCAATGAAAAATAAGTGAATCAAACATGATTGGTGATGGTCACCTACTCACCTTTGCATATCGATCTTTTCTTATTTAATAAAAGCAAAAGAAACTAAGACAACATGCAATCATGAGGCACGGTCTACAAACAGTAAAATACATGTCATCTGAGCCATCCTTTCAACAGACATCTGTTGTGAATTGTTCCCTTGTGCAGTATCTAGTTTGTCAGTGGAACATCCTCAACCATCTACTGTGGGCAACACATAGTTGAGGTGGCAGTGCTGTCTATTTTTTGTAAACCACATGCATCATTGTTAACAACCCCAACCCCATCTATGAGACGAGTAGTTTTTAGTTGTGTTTATGCAATGAAGTTGTATTTAGAAAAAGCTGTTATCTTTGTAACTTCGTTAAGTGATCACAGTTTATAAGAACATAAGTTGCGGTAGTAGTCCTCTTTTAAAATTGACTGAAATTAAGCAAGTTCTAAATTTAGATGCTGACAGAAAAATGTCGTCACATGGAGACAATGGATCAGATGCTCCTAGCGACTGTGGAAAATTTTTGCGCAGACCCCATCCAAACCAAAGGATGAAAGGGGCCATATGGGCCTGGTGGCTCTGGCGACCTACACCACTGTTTCCCACTCCTACCTTCAAACCCACATTTGTTGCCCTCTGTTTTCTTTTTCTGAGAATGTCCTTTTGTTGCCTTCTTGAAAGACCAAAATCTTTCCATTTCTTTGCTTTCTCCCTCTTCTTTCTCCCCCCATGAGTCTATGGATAATCCATGGCTGCCCATGCGACTCATTCCTCTCTCTTTGTAGGGAAAGAAAGAGAGAAAAGCAGTGGTTTGAAGAACAGGGGTGAGCATGGGAGGGGATTCAGATATGTGTTGACCATTTTGGGAACTCTTGGTGACTATATGCACCAACTAACCTATTTCTCTATATATATGTGCTTTTGCAAGTTCAGAATCAACACAAAACCCTTCGCTTCCTAATTCGTTTTTCCAAATTAGGGGAAGTCCAATACTCCATTTTTCTCTTTCCATATGGGAATGTATGCTATCTCTTACTTCTCTATTTATTTCTAGGTTACGACTCATTCTCATAATTTGTAATTTCTTTTAAGCTTTATAACTTATTTCATTGAAATTGGTAAACAAAACCCGAAAAAAATGCACACAATGAGAGAGAGAGAGAGAGAGAGAGAGAGAGAGAGAGAGAGAGAGAGAGAGAGACATATAGAGACGACGACTAACTAATAGTACTAGTAGTAGTAGAGGTAGTGTGACGACGACGTAGTAGTAGGTAAGGTAAGGAGGGTAGGAGGGTAGTAGTTAGGTTT